GTCCATGTATTTTGAAGAATTTACCGTGATTTGACATTGAAACTAAATAATACTGCCTAGGTTACTTAACTCTGCCGCCTTAAATTCCCGTAAGAAATTAACATAGTATGCTGGATGTTTGAATAGGCTGGTGAGCAATATTTATGGGAGTGGAGGCATTTAGGTATGTGAACCTGTCGAAGTACGATAGTCGACATCTCAACGGTCAAAAGACAGAGAAGGAAGTTAAATGAACAAGCTTTCTCGGGGCAAGAGAGAGTGCAGGTAGGCCAGCTAGCAACTGAAGTCTACGTTCTCACCAAACAAGTGTGTGATGCTGCGGTTTCTGAGCGCGTATATTTATGTCTTGTCTCTACTACCCTACGCCACCCATCAAAGGACGTAGTGCTGATTGGCCTTAATCTTTCGTCAGGCTAGTGAAAATCATGGGCGACCCCAACAGCGATTTGACTGGAAGCGCGAGGCGGACAGAAGTTGGCATGAGCAATCAACCGCTCCGAGGATCAGGGGCGCAAACTCTCAAAAACCCGATAAATAGAAGCGATCGCTAGAGCAAGAGCTGTTTTTGCCTGACGTTTCGGATTCTTGCTCGAAACCATCTTCAGAGACTGTTACGTAAATGGGCCATTCGTGCACAGGAAGTTGCACTATTTATAGAATGCAGTCGCCATGCTATGGCATACCTATGATAATTAACCGCACTCCCCTTCATCGTTCATTGCTGCCCACTGGTGCGTTAATTGCCTAATGGCCAGCACGCTAGGTTTTAACTGCTGAAATCTCTTCACACATGTTGGACACTGGCAAGGGCGCGAATCCCCGAACACGCGTCATCGGCGTGGAGCGACGACGCCAACTCTCAGTTCGCGGACCAGTAAGCGAGACCCAGCCACACATATACAGTGCGTGACCTATCTCATGAAATGTTGGCTGAAATTCTGAAATGCGTTTTCGATTAGAAAGGATTACTTGGTCGCGGTGGTGATACTCATTATCCTAAGGCATACTCTTATAACATTTTGGACTCGTCAGGATGTCGGCTTTCAAATTCATTTCTTTTCAATCTCCTGTAGAAAGCGTGCTCGGCAAAAAATGACTACTTAATTAGCATGCATTTTTCCCATTGATTTTCGATGGTCTTGGAAATTCAAATATATTTTATAGAAACCGCAAAAAAATATGCCTTTCTTTAGTCACTGAATAGAGAATCACGTCTTCTTTATATTTTATACTTAAGCAAGGAGTATAATTAGGCTTTAAAAAAGTTTTCTTATTGCCGAAAAATTTGGAGCCTGATCATCCGTTGCGTTAGCGCTTAGTGATTACACTCTACAAGGTGCATGCGTTCCGCGTAAAGAAAATCCCATATTTTTCCGTCATTAAAGAGATATCATACAGGGTCCCTAAAATTTTGCAATGGACGCAGACCATAATGTACATTTCATGAGGAGCAGTGGTAAACGGCCAGGTACGATGCTATGTGAATGGACATATCGTGGCCTCAAAAAGTCTCATAATTATAAACTTTTTTAAAACTTAATTATACTCCCTCGTTAAATAAAAAATATAAAGAAGACGTAATTCTCTATTGAGTATCTAAAAGAAAGCATATTTTTGTTTGTAGTTTCTAAAAAATATATTTGAATTTCCAAGACCATCGAAAACCAATGGGAAAAATGCATGCTAATTAAGTAGTCATTTTTATTGAGGACGTTTTCTACAGGGGATTGAAAAAAAGTGCATTTAAAAGCGGACATCCTGCCGAGTGCAAAATGTTATAAGAGTATGCCTTAATCAGTATCACCACCGCGACCAAGTAATCCTTTCTAATCGAAAACGCATTTCAGAATTTCAGCCAACATTTCATGAGATAGGTCACGCACTGAAAGTTCGATTAGGGCGAATCTCTGGCGAGAGGTTATAATCACGTGAGCCGCGAGGTGCTAGAGTCATGTTTCACGGGACACCAGTCCATCAACAAGTGCAGCGACACCCGCACTCCATATTCGGTGCTGAGGCATAGTCTGGCCAAAGTAATTAACCACTCGTGGAGCTCGCAGGTCGGCGAGCCAGATGGTCGAGCAGTCATCACGCCAGCATCAAGCACAGGGAGGACGGTTAATTATCATAGGTATGCAGTAGCCTAGCGATTGAATCCTATAAATACTGCGAATTCATGTGTACGAATAACTCGTTTCTGTCACTGTCTTTGATGCTGGGTTCGAGCAAGAATCCGAAACGCCAGTCGAATAAATCCTTTGTTCCAGCAATCACTTCCACTTCTTATCAACTGGTTCCTGGAACTCGGGTCTTCGCTTATGTTAAGAATCTCTTAGACATCGTGTTTATCCTACCGACAGCCATGAAAAACACGTCGGTTCCGAAAATAAATGTCTTCAAACTGCGATAAAGAAAATTAATGCCTGAAAATATCATGCTTTAGGATATAACAGAAAAGGACAAGGGAGAATCAGGTGTGCATTTGTGCCTTTTTAGCCGCTTTCAGTCAACATTGCCCAACTCCAGGTTTAACTGTGACTGAGGCTCGAACCCATGCTACTCTGGTTATTAGTTCAACAGTTTAGCCAATGAGCGACGGGTTCTTGCACTCTTGGTTGCAATCTGGAATAGTGTTTATGTTGTAAATGCGTTTCCCGTGCGGGTCACGGATGCGCGTGCTTTGGAGTCCGATTTAGAGTCCCACAGGCCGCGCGCAATGGTAGGAGAATAGGCCAACAAGGATGACTGAGGTGGACACTCTTGGTTTCACGGTCGTTGTCTGACAGACTTACCTAAACCCAGGTTTGATAGCACCTGAGGGTTTGGATGGGCATATCCCGTAGTCCGACAACACAAATGTGCTTTGGCTCACCGCAGCATATACAGTGTCAGGATGCATGCTGGGCCGTTTTTGCTTTGCATCAAGGATCTGTGGAGATCCAGTCTCACGTTCGTTGTTGAAACGTGTAAGGTAAAAGTCTATAGTGTTCATGAAATTGAGATTTTCACGTCTGACGTAGAATTGCAGTCAGCAAGGGGAGGCGAATACGATTTTCCTAATGTAAATTTCAAAGTAGTGGTGGTTAATTCGTCTCAAAAAAAATTTTCGACCACTGATCCATGATGTGGGCGCGGCCACGACTTGCACATACACTCCTTAACAATGAAGCATACTCGCGCTGCATCAGTCACAGACTTTTTTCCTTTACCAGTCAAGATGACCGCCTGTAAACGTGGGTACATAACAAAGCTAGTCAGCACGTCAGAAGCTCCCGCTCAGGGCTTTAACAAGCTTGCCTACCAATGGAAACGACTACAGTGATTGAACGATCACATGGAATGTAGGCTGAAATTCCCAAATGCGTTTTTGATTAGGAAGGCATGATTAGGCGCGGTTGTAATACTGATCGGCAGGATGTCAGCTTTCAAATAAACTGCTTTTCAAACTCCCATAGGAACCATACTCGGCAAAAATGACTGCTTAAGTAACAAACAATTTTCTCATTGATTTTCGATGGTCTAGCAAATGCTTGCACCCCTCGCTGAAGTTCACTGCAGAGGCCGAGGCAGATAACGAACTTGTCTTTCTCGGTGTCCTTCTGCACAGGCAAGAGGATGGGACTGTCCAGCGCGGGGTGTAACGAAAGAAAACCTGGACGGAACATTACGTTAATTTCCACATGTTTGTTTCCCTAAACATCAAACGCAATTTAGTCCAGGGACTGACAGCTAGAGTGAAACGCATCTGTTCACCCGAAGCTATTGAAGAAGAAATCAAACAGCTGCGGATCACTCTTCGGGAGAACGGATACCCAAATAGATTTATCCTCCGACATCTTGGGAACGCGTCGCAAAGCCCACCGTTGCGACTGCGGAAAAGGAAGAGGTATTCATAACATTGCCTTTCACAGGAAATGCAAAGGGCGGGTTAGTCAGACGGCACTTAACTGCAGCTATCACGAGGGCATTTTCCGCGGAGAATTTACGCATATGCCTCACCAAGTTGACACTCTTATGTCTGGGGGGGGGGGTAAAGACAGACTACCGTTGGAGGCCACATCAATGTGCATTTATTCATTCAATTGCTCCTGTGTAGCAGGATAAATCGGCCGCACTAAGAGAAGTCTGCGTAAGAGGGTGCGGGAACACATGCCCGCCTGGCTAGACAGAGGTAAGACCCGGTCGATTTGGAGTTCTATTTTCGCACAGTTAATCAATACGAATCACCGAGTCGATGCCAAGAAGGCATTTCAGGTTGTCCACTTGACGCCAACATGCTTCTCTAAAGGCCTACGCAAACGGATACTGGCAACGGCTGAGGCAGTGGCTATAGGGCTAGCGAATGCGGTGTTATGCTGTCAGAAAACCCTGACACGAACGCTCTTCCTGCCATATTCAACGCCAACCCGAAGTGATGACGACATGCCGCCTCAAATCCCTAATTACAGTGATAGGTACTCCGTGTACTCTATCCAAGAACATCACTCAAAGACTCTCTTAACCCCCTCCCCAAGCTCTGAGGACCAACACCCGCCAACCTTGACATGCGAGCGGCGTGGGGATGATGAGTGTTAATGACTTAATAGCCTTTGAGACACCTATAAGCACTGTCGATTTTGTACATTTTCATTCCTTCATGTAATTGTATTGGCCTGACGAAGAATTACCGAAACACATGTTTGCCAACTTAACTTCTCAAACAATTTTTGAAGGGAACCCAGGAAAAAATATGCTCTCTTTTAGCCGTTTGACAAAGAATCACTTCAGCGTTATATTTTATGCTTGAAGAAGGAATATAATTAGGTTTTAAAATGCTTAATTATGAAATTTTTTAAGACGGAGTAATTTCCATTCATAGAGCATCGCAGCTGTCCGTTTACCACTTGTCCTCATGAAGTGTACGACATAGTATGCATCCATTGTAAAATTTATGGACTCTTTATGATGCCTTTTTGAAGGCATCGAAGAATATGGTTTTCTTTATGGGGAAGGCGTGCACCTTGCAGCCTGAAATCACTAAGCCCAAATGCAACGACTGATCAGGCTCCAAATTATTCGGTAATTAAAAACCTTTTCTAAAAGTTAATTATACTCCTTCATCCAGCATAAAATAAAACGATGACTTGTTTCTCTGTCAAACGACTGAAAGAAAGCATATTTTTATTCATGTTTTCTATGAAATATATTTTAACTTGCAAGACCATCGAAAATCAATGAGAAAAATGTATGCTACTTAAGTAGTGATTTTTTCCCGAGAACGCTTTCTAAGGCAGTTAGAAAAGCAGTGTGTTTAAAGGCCGACATCCTGCCGAGTCTGAAGCATTATAGGATTATGCCGCATGGTGATCAGTATTAAAACCGCGCCTAATCAATCCTTCTTAATCGAAAACGCTTTTCAGAATTTCAGCTAATATTTCATGAGATCGCTCACTCACTGTACGGCCGAGGAGGAACTCATGTTGGTGAACACGCCACATAGTTCACTGCAAAGGCAAGCTTATACTGCGTGAACAGTATGCCAACATAGATCAGCGTTACCACTCAATTTGGAAACGCTCAGCATTTTGTCTGTTAGCTCACCCTGATAGTTCTCAGTCGCGTTTAGTTGTTGATTTCTGGATTTGCCAACTTTACTGTGTCTTCCCCTTCATACAACCAGTGGCCTGTCCTAGTCAAGTCAGTTGGAAATATTAGTGCATCTACTGTCTGACGTTACGTAAGGTTCCCGTCTCGAGAGTTCGACCGTAAACAATCACCGTGTTCACAGCGGATCTCACAACAAGGTGGTAGCGGGGAGGGCGACCAGCGCGTAAATAAGTTTCAAGTGATAGTAGGCTCACGCTACTTCTACCTCCTTTTCCCCTCTCTCACAACCCTGAGACTAGTGCTACGAGGGAGTTAAGAGGGCCAAAGGCGCGATTAGACGCAGTAAAGTAAAGGGCTAAACAAGCCCACTCCGCAGGTCACACGCCGCTGCTCCATACAAGTTGCTGGGGCGGCAGGAGCCTGCGTCTTGGCGCGCTTCCATCCCCCACATCTGTGGCAATCGGTCTAGGTGCGCAGCTTACAATAATGCGTTGCGTAACATTAGCTGAGTTGAGTGTCTTTGAAAATGAGCTCCTGCATGACCCGTCATAGAGGGCACGGTCTCCACCTGGCACATAAAAGACATTGACTCTGACGTCAGCGTGGCGAACGGTGCTAAAAAGCCCGCTTTAAGAAGGAGCCATTGAGATTTGGCTGTTGCCCGACGAGATGGTAGACGTTAATAATTCTGTCTATAACTAGAGACACACAAGGATGGATTTCACAATAACGGCCACAATCCCGAGCTGAATGTCCTGATTTGTCACTTGACAGACGGCGAGACAAAGCATAGTGGTTAGCGTGTCGGAGCACTTTTGACTATTGAATGTCACATGACCCCACAAATGCTATTTTAGCAGATTCTTGGTCCACATACTGGCGTAGGTAAAAGCAGGTTTAGGTCTGATATCTGGGAAAAGGGTGGAAATAGTCAGTGCGTATATGACCAAGATTTAGATGAAATGACAATTAAATAGTTATCCCGACATAATAACGGTCACTAGTCACTTTTATTTGTCATATTTCACAGGGCTCAAATATATGCACCTAAAACGTTCCGGCTGGAATAATATCTCAGCAGGGACTCAGCAGAAGGTGTAAGTTCTCGTGGAAATCATGTGAGTAAATAATGATCAATTATCAAACAATGAACTGAGTTGCGGAAGACAATACACATTCACACTTTGATGTAAGGACGCTGTCTAGTTGAACAGAAGATTTCGAAGGGCAAAACATTAGCCGCAAGTGGTTTACTGATGAGTTATCACTCTTGAACATGCTGTCAATCATTGTAAAAACTACCTAATTGACTTCCATTATCTATTTTCATTAAAACGTAGGTGCTGCTCCAGTGTTGGCCGTCAAAGCGAAAGCCAACCACAAACGGTTTCGATCGCTCCGCACTGTGAGGGTGAGACACTCGTCATGCACGAACTCGGACATGTCATGGGGTTTTGGCACGAGCAGAGCCGACCCGATCGCGATGGTGAGTTTCCGAACGATGTTTCCAATAAATCGTCAATGTTAACAGCTGATCGGCGGCCGTTAGCTGGCTGCACGGGCACATCTGTCCAATACTGCCTTAAATTGTCATAGCAATTACCTCTTTCCTTTTTGCAACATGATACATGTATGGCCAACTTTTCACAGAGCGTTATTAACAAACACAGATGGATATTGGTGAATTTCGTTTTTCAGTCTACAGTATGACTGGCTGGGATGTCAATTCAGGTTTACGAGAAGTATTTGGCAGGGCTGCTTTACACAGTCACCCAAACAGGACATGGCAATAGGAACGGTGGGCCCAAGTAATAAAGGCGGAACTGCACATAATTCCTGAAGGGGTATAACTACACCCTGTCCTAATCCCAACAAGACCTGTAATGTATAACTTTACCGTTTTTCTAATCTTGACATTATCGCTAACCTAAAACTTGACACTGTAGCTAACATTAACCCCAACGTTAACCCAAAACTCGGTCCCGACTTATCTTAATGTAAACTTTGAACTTACCTTTTTACCTAATCCTTAGGCTGATCTAACCCTAGCCTTGGAACTAACCCTGTTTCGGTTGGTATTTAACGCAAAGGAACCCGTTTTACAAGTGGTTACTGTTTGCATATGCAATTTGGGGGCTACATAAGTCAGTGCCGCCAAATAATCTTTTAGGTGTTTGTTTTGTGGTGGAATTACGTCCACTGGCACTTTGTAAGTGCCATTTTGCGGTATCCACTTTTATTTGTATCAGAAATTTGGGCAGCATAAAATGCTTTTTTTGCATCCTTTTCCATATTAGATTATGTGGAAATCTTTGAGGAGAACATTGAAGACACAAAATTGTTTAATTATGATAAGAAGGGTACTGATGTCATTGATTCACTTGGCGAACCCTATGACTACTACTCTATTATGCACTACCACGATGCTGCCTTTATCAAACCTGACAAGAATCAAACAATGAGGCCTACCAAATGCTGTCCAAATCCAAAAATTGGCCATGCAATTACGCCCAGCGTCGGTGACATTAGACAGGCGAATAAGCTCTACAACTGCCCCTGTAAGTTGAGTTGTGTTTGTCACATTTATCCGGATGTCCCCGCATTTCAGTGACTTTAAAGTTCCTTTGTTTATTGTGACAAACGCAGCCGTTGCCGATAGGATGGCGGGGTACAATTAACGCGTATTGGCGGAGTATGCGGTCAGTCGCGGATTCATCTATTAGACACGGTTAAATAGTTAACTGTTTCCGCACATGACCTATGAATCTGATGGGGACCTGTGAATTTATCTCCAGAATTTGCGCAGTAAAATTTGTTTCTTTTTCGGAGAATTGATCTATTTCTAGTTTAATATTCTGGAATGCCTATTGTTAATTACGAATAGTTGCTATTTTTGGTAATCCCTTGGGGCGGGGAACAAGGTCTTAGGTAAAATACGACTATAAACAAATTTTGAGACTTGCCGACACACTCTAGTTTCTCGTCCCGCATACAAATGCAGGATGACTATTATCAATTGGTTATGGTTGGATTAAGCATGTGATTTGCCCCGACGCAATAAAAACAGTTTATTTTCTAAATCGGACTTTAGAACTCACGTTTCCAAATGGACATTGCGCCTCTTACTGCATTAAACAAGTGTCAAAAGGTTTCACTAACATGACCTACGATTCTAATCGGGCAAGTTGCGTTCTGAAACAGGGCAAATAACGTACACTGGCAGTTACAAATTTATTGGTTCAGTATAACAAATAGTTTGTCCTTTTTCTCAGCAACATTTGCTGTCAAATCATTTAGTAAACCGTGTAAATACGATTGACGTACTTATTTCCCCAGCCTGTGGACGGACGCTTATAGAAAACTCCGGCACGTTTGCTGCTCCACAGGCCGATTCACTCCGTTGGACAGCTGAAACAAACGATCAGCAGCATGAACTGAATTTACTCGCAAAGCAAGTTAACAAAAGTCAGTTGTACAAAGAGGTCCCCTTGGAGGCTGCTAGAACAAATCAGGTAAGGTCGTCCATAGATGCACTTCCCTCCCAGGGCAAGACGCATACGTCCAATCTCAATTATACCACTCCGAATGCCATTTTCTGTCAGTGGAGAATTGTAGCGGTCAATCATGAGTACATCCGCCTAACGTTCACGCATATGGACATGCTTTCTCCTTCACAGCAGTCGCCAAGTAGTAAACACAGTCAAACCATTTCTACAAAGGATTCCCGTCGATGCACCAAGGAGTTTGTTGAAGTCAGGGACGGGTATTATTCTGGCTCTCCTCTGATGGGTATGCTGAAATAACTTATTTTATCCATTATTTTTAACGGTTAGGTAAATGTCCAAGCATGATATGAAGTGTTTTAACACCCTATCCTGACCGCATTCCAAAACATCTATAATTCAGTCCAAGAATCAAAGTGTGTCCGGGGATCTACGAAAGCAATCACAACAATACATTTTCAATACCGGAGACGTTCCATAGAGAACGGGAGTTTTATTAACCTATCCCGTTATTTGTCGGTCATACTAACGCATTTCGTTTTCACCTATGTATGCGATGCTGAACACGTCACATTGTTACCAACCTTTCAGTCCCTTGTTGTTACTAAATTCTTTGAAGCGAACATACGTCTCGCGTGCATTCTTCATTTCACCTGATACATTATCAGGGAAGACGCGATAAAGGTATCAGTCTATTTTGGGGTCTTTTGCTAAGGTCTAGCGAAATTAGGGCGAGCGTTAAGGCTGGGTTCGGCGTTAAGGTGAGCCTTAGTGTTGAGGTTAGGATGAAGGTTAAGGTAGGGTAAGTCAAGATTGGTGTTCGGTTTAAGGTAAGGGCTAAGATTAGTGGCAGAGTTTAGTTTAGGGTCACTGTTAGGGTTTAGGATGGTCTGACGATAAGCGTTACGCCAAGGCATATCGATTTAGATGCCACATACAAAATCATTAAGGACAGATTCAAACCGAGTCAGCCAATCCCGAGATGACAACCTTAACCAATCATGGATTCCTTTTGCCAAACTCAGTCTAAAAGTTAATTGTTTTTGCACACCTGTTGTCTGAAGACGAGCTGGGGAACCAGTCTCGAAAATTCACAATAAAATTTTGCTGTTTCCCAAAGAACTTCACCTTTCTAAATATATATTTCTTTATATTTTTAGACGACCTTATTGACTGGGCTTTTATTTTCGTAACTTATCCGTTATCAAGGCGCAGGGAATTAATTAGCAATCTGTTAACACCCAGGACAGATAGTAAAATTTAATTGTACTTTGGACACATTTTAAACAATGACATGCATTGTTCGATTATTGATATAAAAGTTTGTGTTGTAACCGTTTGTCTAAATAGGAGAGGATCTTAATTTTCAAACTCATAAACTTGTGATATTCAACATGACAATAACTCCCTGTACTTTCGTTTGGCATACTGCCCAATTTTCCATTCTTAGGTAGGTACTGCGGAAAAAAAATCCCACGAACACTGGTTTCGTCAAGCTCCAGAATGTTGATTGAATACAGACGGCCTGCGGGTCAATCAGGTACTGGATTTATTGCCCAATACAAAGGTAAGCATGCACTAAAAATACAAATTTAAGAAGAAGTGGGGGACTTTACTCTTGCTTGCAGTTCATGATACATGAGTTTAAAAGCGGCATAAGCACTGAAATGTTTATTTGCGAAAGGAAGGTTTATTTTTGGCAGCCGAAATCACGACTCGAAATGCCAGAAGAATCATTTGCGGTGAACAATCCTTCCTTTGACGATGCACCGTTGTAGAGAACATCGCCAATTACCTCTCTCCTATACACATATATCCGAAAGCCGATGAAGGGATGGCCACCGCAAACGCAAAATAGGGGCTAGAATTCCTAAAAAACATGTTACACCGCCACTTACACACAGAACGAAATTATGCGCCAAATCATCACTGATCCTATATGTCAATCCCCAGGAAAAACAATGTCCGTTCCAGTAATAGTTTATTGTCACCTCAATAAACCGTCAATTCCCTCAAATATCCTTATGCTTGCCGACCTCTACTGTGGCGTTGAAATCAACAGTCGGTCCATAAACCTTCGTGGTTTAGCGATATGGCGGTTCGAAGAGATGCACTCTACTTGTGAAACTTATGAAGCTCGAAAATTCGGGTCACTGCCCTTCTGTTGACTCTCAGTATATGTCATTCTCTTAGAGATATTTCATCTGAATCCCTTAATGCGAATAAAGTCCTTTTACAACCGCACGTCAGAGTTTTTCGGGGTTTGCTTCTGATTAGGCAAAAACACTTAACCAAGCTGTAAGCATTGGCTTTCAGTGATAGTCCACTCTTGCCTTGTTTAATTTCCGAGGAAATTAAGGCGCGAACTTGCAGTAAGTCTTTCGAAACGGGCCTTTTCAGGCACGCTCCAAATGTACGGTAAGTCACTGCACAGTTCGATAGTCCACTCTGTTACCTGCAACGGTATAGCCTCCTCCATCCGCAGCCAAAGCAGTGATGTCTTTATCGGCCTAGAGTCCCCCTTCATGGACTGCGTTGGACTATAGGACGGAATTTGTGCGGCATTTAAACGATATTGCGCTGAGTGTGTTTACTCATCTCACCTGTAGTTTTGATATGACGGAGGACAGGCTACACTGTTGCAGCAATTTTAGTAGGTTTGATATCAGATGTGTTGTAATTGGCTCAATGCCGACAACCCTTACGTAGTCCTTAGTTAGTTCCTTTGTGAATAGACTATTTACCAGTTTTTGTTCCCTACAACGGACAGTGCGCAAGTTGCGCTGGATTAACATGGGTCCAAAACAGGGTCCGCGACGCGTCATTTGACTGCGCACCTATGACAAATGTAATGCATAGAGTGTGGTTGGACGCTACGGTGCAGGTCTACGCCTGCAGATATCGCCTGCAGTCCTTTAGATTCTCTCTTGACACCGGGCCACAGAAGGCGAGGAAGGAATGAGTGTGGTAGATGCAGTACGTGCCTACTCTTCCATTTACCTGATCCATACACAGGCCACAGTCCCTGCCCACAAACTGCTGTAGGGCTCACGGTGGGCACCGTCGGCAACAACGGTCGTACTGACGGTCGTTCGATAACGTTCGATCAGCTCAATAAAAATACCTGTTCTCTGATTGTGATTCAGCACCGTCTTATTTCCTATGACTCTATCGTTCACCGTCGAGCAGTTGTGTCCGGGTGCGGCGGGGTAGACTGCCACCAATGTTAGTTTACTTTTTATTCATGCTTGCACGACATTGCTCGTACACGAGTTCAATGTAAGAAGGAACGGTGACTTTTCCCGAAGAGCGTTTACTCGCCCTAGACATAGCACCGGTTCGTTTTCGATCACAGTCAGATGGCAGGATTTCGGGCCTCGATGCGGGTCACTTGATCGACTACCACATTAACAATCATATATGGCTTTCTGTACTTCATCATGTGGTACGCAAAAAATCAATGGGAATCTCAGGAACATTCCTGTGAGGAGAGAATTGAGCATACAGTGAGTTGCGCATTTGATTTTTATCTCCTAGATTGACAAGCAAGATATCGTAAAATCGGATAAACAAACAGTATGAAGATTTTGGAAGTGTGTTCACCGATCAGATTACTGGACAGTCTTGTACTTCGCATTGGGATCTATCTAGAGCTCCGAGGCGTGCCGTAGAGAGGCTGGTAGTATATGCGGTAGCTTCGCCCTGCTTATACTGCGAGCCGCAATGCGACTGTCTGCGGGGTTCTAGAGGGATTCTTGATGCACCGCAGCAAAAACGTTTCCCTGAACACGATCAGTGAATTCACATGCAACCTAATCCACATTCCTGATACAAAGCGACATGAAAATGACATCGTGGCTCATTGATTGGCCTGCAGACTTATCAGAACGTTATTTTCAAAAACATGCTAGTTCGACCGCCAAGTATTTCCAAGCTTGAGTTTGGACAAGACTACCTTGTAACCTCTATTAAGCTGGAAATCGTCATCCGGGTTCCGGTCATCTTTGCTGGTAATGCCATTCTGCGTATATTAATATATGTTACTTGTTTATGAGCCCTCTGAGAAACGAATGAGTTTTTGCGAATTTCCGATAGCAGTTTCAGAGCTCGTCATCGGACATATAAGAAATGATTACAATGGTGACATTAAAAAACTGCATAAAAACTCGATGCTTGTTTCGGCGACTGTCTGTGATGTCTCTATATTGAATCCTATAGAGGTAAATAACAAGCATACCCCGTAACGTGCTGGATATCAGCCTTTCCCCCGAAAATATTTACACGCATATTGCCATGTTAGTGTTGTTTACGGATAAGATTACGGGATATGCATTTCGTGACGAAATTTAGTATCGATCTGGTGTCTTATCTATCAATCGAAAAGAAAATAATGAGGGTTTCGAATGACCGACCGACAAAAACAGTAGTCAACAGCCACCTTTGCGATTTCAGACAGCGTTTTTAATGCTCCGGTCCGTTAAGATCATTCGCCCTGCCTATAAGCTGTTCCAGGTGCACTGGCCTTACTACAGTTTGGCCGACTGCAGTCATATTCTCCCCACGCCGCCCTTGAACACACTAAGCAGCATAGGTATTAGGGTAACGGGACAGACACCCCTTAAACACAAGCCATTTGAAACTGATTCCAAAAAGAATTAAAGCAGTCAACACTGGTTTCAAACTCTTTCAGACACGATCTGCTGCCGTTAGAACATCCACCGGCATTGCTAATGGTCACTGTCAACCAATATATCAAACCATGGTTCTCTGCAAAATAAGATAATTTCATTAGGCGTTTTCTGGCTTTGACTGCTGATTAGGGATAGACAAAAGACAAAAGAAACTACGACGGCCGTCTCGGGCTTCTAAGCCACCGTTCAGTTGTACCACTTTCTGCAAGATCGCTACCTTTATAGTTTTGAAAATTCCTATTGAAGAATCCAAAAGACGAATTGGCAGGTATACGTATGCATCCGATAGATTCTCTTTAGGCCGGTGCATTTATATTGCTGTTGAAACGACTGATTAAAAAGTGTGTGTAAGTTTGTAGATAATTATGCCGAAGCTGAGGTTTGGAGAGAAGGAGAGTGAAACCAAAATTACAGTCAACGTCAGGGGGATGATGGACACCAGGAAAGGTAGTTATATTCGGGTGCTTAGCATAGTGGCTTTGACCCATTGTAACCGTGGGGCCTGCAAGAAGTTCTCCTGCGCGCATGGAACTACTTTGTATAACCCGATCGCAGCCGCCCAAGTAATTTTGATAGCCTCACGGAACCTTGTAAATCACTCAGAAGGCCTGTCCGACATCTACACCGTGATCTCTGTCAAAGATTATGCGAGGATAGAGCTGTCAACGCTCTTTAGTTGAATCCTTCCTTAGCATGCTTGGAGGTGTTTTCTTATTCTGTTGAACAAACACCGGCTCGTGTTAGCAATATGTTCTGCTCCACAGGAGCAAGTGAAGGAGTAAAGGCATATAGGGGTAGTCTGGGCTAACAGTTTATCATTGACCTCTCTATATTAGGGTGGAACTTGTGGCAAAGAATACATGGGCGTCAGCTGTTGTAAAGATGCGTGGCACAGCTTGAATTAGGCGGCTTGAAGTGCGCCTGGTGCGCCGCCTTGAAACGAAACCCTGGTAGCAAGCTC